TAAACCCAAAAAAAAATCGAATTTAATTTAGGGGGGTTTTTTTTTTGTGCTTAGCTTGGGTTTGAAAACCAAAAAAAAGCTAATCACATGACATTTGCATGGATTACCTTTTGACCTTTTACAGCTATACACAATATACAATGGATAGCATGGAATGAACCATCCATTGTATACAACTGCAAGTGACCTGCTGTGATTGTTCAAAGCAGGTCACAGGAACCCCGGGAACGGGGGCGATACTCCGATTTTGCATCGGCCGTGTCCCGAGGTAAAACGGCCCCGGGGACAGATCGCCCGCTGCGCGCCTCTTCTGAGCGCAAACCCCGCAATTTTGGTTTCAGGAGGGCCTCATTTTTTGTCCACAAAGGAAAAGCCCGATGAAAATTTGGCCCCGGGCCCCCCCATTTTCCCCCATAAAGGGGAACGGCAAATGGTTAAAGGGTGGCCCCCAGGACCGTCCATCATTTTAAAGGGGGCCTTGGGACTGTTTCCCTCATTTTAAAGGGGGGGTCGGGGGGCGGGCCCATTTATTTTTAAAAAGGGGTTTCTTTGGGACGTCCATCATTTTTAAAAGGGCCTCAAAAAACCGCCATAATTTTAAAGGGTGTCCCCGGGCAGTTTTCCCTAATTTTAGGGGGGTGAATCGGGACTGTCCATAATTTTTTAAAAGGGGGCCTTTTGGGGCTGTCCATAATTTTAAAGGGTGCCTCGGGGCAGTCCAAATTTTAAAGGTGTTTCGGGACCCCCCCATCATTTTTAAAAGGGGGCCTTTGGGCTGTCTGTATTTTAAAGGGTGCCTCGGGAAATGTCCCCCATTTTAAAGGGTTTTTCGGAACCCGCCATCCCTTTTTAAAGGGGGCCTCAAAACCGTCCATAATTTTAAAAAGGTTTCCCCGGGACATCCATCATTTTAAAAGGGGGCCGGAATTGGCCATCACTTTTCAGGGTGTCTTTTGGGGCCGTCCAACATTTTTTAAAGGGGTTTTTCGAACAGTCCCTCATTTTTAAAGGGGCCTTGGGAAATGTCCAAAATTTTAAAAAGGTTTCCTTGGACTGTCCATCATTTTAAAAGGTGTCTCTGGACTTTTCCATCATTTTAAAGGGTGCCTCGTATCGCCCATCATTCTTTAAAGGTCCTTGCGGGACTGTGTGCATCATTTTTAAGGGTGCCGCGGAACGTGTCCATCAGTATTAAAAAGGGTGGCCGTCGGGACTTCCATAAATTTTAACTGTGCCTTTGCGACAGTCCATAATTTTAGATGGCTGTGCTCGGAACTGTCCATCGATGTTTTAAAAGGGTGGTCTCGGGTACTAGCCATCAATTTAAAGGGTTTCTCATAGGTCTTGGCCTCATCATTTAACGGGCCTCCGGGACAGTCATTGCCTTTTATAAAAGCGGTCGTCACAGGAGCGCGCGTAATTTGTAGAGGTTGACGTACGGAACTGTCTCGTGTCAACAGTAAAGGGCGCATAATTGGACTGAGCAACAATATAAAGGGGGGGGGGGGACTGTTAGACAGTTTGAGAGGAGACGACACTTGGTACTGGGCACAGGGTGAGCAGACAGCCCTAGAAAAGTGAGCTGGCGAGTGACAGCGATTAAGTTACGCACAACACTAAAATTAGGCTAATCCTAAAAAAAGTATAAAGAAGAGAAACACGGATACATGCAGTATCTTTAGGAGGGGGGTTGGGGGGGGGGGGATCAAGGGTGGGGGGGGGAGGTGATCGGGGGGGTATCTCATCAGAAGGCTTCCAGTTCAAGGATGAGACATATATCCAGAGAGGGGTGGAATGACACTGAGTGGGGAGGGAGCCCCGTAGGGCTCGCTAATGAGATCTCCATTGAGTAGCTTACTTATGACCCGAGATTTCTTGCCTTGTGTCCCCCTAACACCGCGCTTCCTCGAGGCTGCATGCTTCATGGGTCCAGGCGTGTCCTCGTCATGGGGTCAACGACACCTCATACCGTACGCGATCATCCTCACAGTTATCTGCTGTCCCATCGCCACACCATCATTACAACATGTTTGGGGCTGCACTTTCAGGTCTCGGAAACAACAATTTGCTGGTGGGCTTCCATTATTTGGTCAAAATAATCACAAGCGGGGCTAATAATGGAAGTAATAATAGTAACAGAGAGCAACGTGTGGCGCGCCGACAGCTGAAGCCATATTGCGCCCAGTGAACTCCATTGTTATCTGTTGTAAATAATGGGGCCCCAGTAAGAAGCGCCTCATCGGAATAGGGCTGAGGCTAGCAGACAACTTGTAATCTTCACTGGGAACAAAAGTGGCGTATTCTCTCTGTGGACATTATAAAAATAATAAAAAATAGTTAATAGAACATACAATCTATATATACAGCCAGGAAGGAATGATGTATGACAATGAGCCTGCCCAAGCCTAATACACTACAGCAGTACCCCGTTGTAGCAGCCAATAAGACCGCCTATACTCGACCCTCTCATGAGGTTCCCCCACCCCCGACTACCCAGTCCCCCCCCACCCCGCCCGCAGCCCTCCGCCCGCCCAATTTCAACCCCCACTCACCTACTGCCACATCACCCCTCCAACCCAAACACCCCACACTCCCACCCCCCCACGCCACCACCCCCACCTCCCCCCCCCCCCCCATGGACACACCCCCCCCAACCACCCTACCAACCTCACACCCCCCTTCTCCACATCCCACCACTCAAATAAAAAAAACCACACACAAACAACGAACAAACCTAACATGACAATCACAATATAAGATCCGACGTCAGTCAAAAATTCGAAATCGGCTAATCCAAGAAACAATATGAATTCGAGGCGGTACAGGGGCCCATGACATTAACTTAATAAAAGGGTGTATTCCAGGCTTCAGAAGAGCCTATAATTTAGTGCAGAACACTGAGTGCAACCTTTAATTTAAATGCCCTTGAGTCTGCTGGGGAAGACGAAATGGCATATTGTCAGTCATATGACATGCAGATGAGTGCCGTCGATCTTAGAAATCACCGCACACTTAACTCATTTGGCAGATCCCATGAGGGCGCAAAACCAGAAGTGTGGAGCACACAGTTACTGGCGGTGGAGGCAGCAGCAATGGGAGGCCATACAACTACAGCACCCTATGACAAAAATGCGGAACCCCACCAGCATGTGAGAGACCTGAAAAAGTGGCACATGGCAGAGTGTGGTGGCGATGGAGACAGCAGCAATTGGGAGGCCGTAACAGGGACCCATGACACCACTCTGGACCTGGCAGCAGCATGAGAACGAAGGCGTACAGGGGCCCATGACAGATTACGGGCCTGGCAGCAGCATGAGGATTCCGTATGGGGGCCCATGGCAGATTTACGGGCCTGGCAGTCAGCAATGGTAGGCCGTACAGCACCCTATGACAAAATGGAAACCCACCACAGTGGAGGAGACCTGAAAGTGGCACATGGCCGAGTGGTGGCGAATGGAGACCAGCAGCACTGGGAGGCCGTACACAGGGACCCATGACACACTCTGAGACCTGGCAGCAGCATGAGGAGGCGGTACGGGGGCCCTGCACCAGATCGGGCCTGGCCGCAGCAATGGAAGCCCGTAATCTGCCACACCCCTACCAAAAAAATTTTTTAAAAAAATGAAGACATCCCAGCAGTGTGGAGGAGACCTGAAAGTGGCACATGGCAGAGTGTGGGGGCGATGGAGACGCAGCAATGGGAGGCCGTAAACAGGGACCCATGAACATAACGGACCTGGCAGCACATGAGGAGGCGGTACAGGGCCCATGGCAGAATTTTACGGGCCTGGCAGCAGCAATGGAGGCCCGTAATGCCAGCAACCCTAATGACAAAATGGAACCACACCAGCAGTGTGAGGAGACCTGAAAGTGCACATGGCAGAGTGTGGGCGATGGAGACAGCACAAGGAGGCCGTACAGGGACCCATGAGACGACTCTGGACCTGGCAGCAGCATGAGGAGGCGGTACAAGGGGGCCCATGGCAGATTACGGGCCTGGCAGCAGCAATGGGAGGCCCGTAATCTGCCAGCACCCTATGACAAAATGGAACACACCAGCAGTGTGAGGAGACCTGAAAGTGGCACATGGCAGAGTGTGGCGATGAGACAGCAGCAATGGGAGGCCGTACAGGACCCATGAGAGACTCGGACCTGGCAGCAGCATGAGGAGGCGGTACGGGGGCCCCATGGCAGATTACGGGCCTGGCAGCAGCAATGGGAGGCCCGTAATCTGCCAGGCATACAGCACCCTATGACAAAATGGAACCCACCAGCAGTGTGAGGAGACCATGAAAGTGGCACATGGCAGAAGTGTGGCGATCCCAGACAGCAGCAATGGGAAAACGGGCGTACAGGGACCCATGGAGAACTCTGTCTCCTGGCAGCAGGCATGGAGGCACCAGTACAGGGTGCGTTTGGCCAGATACGGGCTGGGCAGTGGCAGCAATGGGAGTGGCCCGTGAAATCTGCCAGCACCCTATGTACAAAAAATGGAAACACCAGCAGTGTGAGGCAGACCTGAAACCTGGCACATGCAGACCCTTGTGGCGAAGCTGAGACAGCAGCAATGGAGGCCAAATACAGGGACTATCCATGCAAGACACTCTGGACCTGGCAGAACAGCATGAGGTGGAAGGTACAGGGCCCATGGCAGATTACGGCGGGCCTGGCAGCAGCAATGGAGGCCCGTAATCTGCCAGCACCCTATCAATGACAAATTATGGAACTGCCACCAGCATGAGGGAGACCTGAAAGTGGGCACATGCAGATGTGGTGCAATGCAGTCAGCAATGAAGGACCCTGTAAAGGGGGCGCCCATGGCAGAGTTGTGGCAGATGGAGACAGCAGCAATGGGAGGCCTCCGCCGTACAGGGACCCATGAGAGAGCTCTGGTGGCCTGGCAGCAGCAATGAGGAGGCGGGTACCGGGGCCCATGGCAGATTACGGGCCTGCAAGCAGCAGCAATGGAGGCCCGTAATCTGCCAGCACCCTATGACAACAAAAAATGGGAACCCACCAGCATTGTGAGGAGACCTGAAAGTGGCACATGGCAGAGCTGTGAGGCGATGGTCAGACAGCAGCAATGGGAGGACCGTACAGGGACCCATGAGCAGACTCTGGACCTGGCAGCAGCATAGAGGAGGGTACGGTACAGGGGCCCATGGCAAGATTAACGGGCCCTGGGCAGCAGCACTATGAGAGGCCCGATAATCTGCCAGCCACCCATGCCTAACAAATGAACACATGCTATTACACATTACCAGCAGTGTGAAGTGGAAAGACCTGAAAGTGGCACATGGCAAATAAAGAGTGGTGGCGATGGAGACAGCAGCAATGTGACAAGGCCCCCGTACAAAAATCATGAGAGACTCGCACCCCTATGCATCCCCATGAAAATTTCGGTAATAGGGCACATATGCAGATTAGGGGGCCTGGCACAGCTATTTTGGAGCCGTAATCGGCAAGACCCTATGACAAAAAGATTGCCCACAATGCGGCAGCCAGAGTGGTTGGCGGCTGGAGAACCAGCCCCAAGCAAAATGGGAAAGGCCGTAACAGAACCCAAACAAGAAGACACTGGACTTGCAGCACAAAAATGAAGGAAGGGCCGGTTAAAATAAATCCGGGGCCCCCATGGGCCATAGAAAAATTAAGGGGGCCCTGCAGCAACGCTACATGGCGTGAAAAGAGCCCCCGGATAATCCTTGCCATCACCCTAAGGGGTACACGCCCCAAAAAAAAATTAAACCACCCAGCAGTGGTGAAAGAAGAACCCTTGAAAGTGAGCACATAATGGCCAGCCCCAGAGTGTGGCGATGGAGACAGCAGCCCAAAGGGAGGCCCCTACAGAACCCCCAAATAGAAATAGAAAAAAAGAAGGAAAAATATAAAAGAGAAAAGGGAAAAAAAAACAAAAGGAAAA